AGAAATATTATGTTATTTACCTGTTTAAACTGATGTTGGAGCAATCATTCTTACAGGCTACAGCTCTCCAAACATCTTCCATAATGTAACCTTGCACTTCTCCGCTGGCTATGTTATGGTTTCCTGTCTAGAAACAATCTTGTCTTGAAACAAGATGCAGTTCAGCTAAATTTTCTTGGTTATTTTGGTTAGTTCATAGTTAGTTTATATTGTTGTATAAGTATGCAAAGCAGCTTGGTACAAAAGTTTTCAGCTTAAAAATTCAAGAGCAACGAATGCTAATGCCAACCAATGACCTATTGTTTCGAGTAGAACGAGTTTTATTCCTCTTAAATAAAATTTTGAGTTTGAGTTTTGTGAATGAAGAAGTAGGTGTTAAGAGAGTTTTTCTCTAATGGAGATCGACGTGACTCGATTCCAAATTAATTAGGACCTAACGTGGTTATCGGATACTGAGATATTAATAAAAAAAAAAACCGAATGCTAGTGCCAAATGGGATGAAGTTGGTAGGTTTTAACGTATTGAGAATCTTAAATTGATGAGGATGGCTTTTCTTTGAGCACACTGGTTGATGCAATTTATCTTAGTGAAATAATGGAAAGTAGATTTTGAAAGATAAAATGAGGTTGTTTTATTTATCTTTAACTTTTAAAAGATATATAATTTAATGTTGCCTCAAAATTATTGGTAATGATATATTTATGGAAAATGATATGTGCACACTCCCCTCTGAAAAAAAAAAAATGCCCATCACCCACCCGGTCCAATTTTTTTTTATATGGGGTGCACACCCGGGTGTTGGATCTGGGTGTGCACCAATCAGGGTCTTATATTTATAATACTATGAACAAATATAATTTTATAAATCACAATTTTAACATATTATTAAATAAATAAATTTATACAATATTATGAAATTTTTTAAAATAATTAATTATATAATAATATATCAAAATTATAAATTCACAATATCATCTTTCATTGCAATTATAACAATTTGTTATTCCCATCTTTTCTTAAGTTTAACAATTCTCTTAAATTACATTTACTAGCGTGCCATTTAATGTGCTCTCTTGAAAATTGTGTTTTCATTTATTTAGATTGGCCCATAAATACTAGTGTTTATTCGGTTATTAGGAAAATCTTGTGTTATTTAATTCATATGATGTGTTTAAGGAAAGGATGTGGGTATATCTTTATCTTAAGGAAATGATATTTTTTTTTTAGTTTAATATTATAAGAGTGATTCTTTTGAATTATTTAAATTTTATAAGGTAAAAGTACTCCTTAAAAATTATTCAAATAATTGATATTTTAGTTTAAGGATTTAAAACTTTAATTTTAAATTAGTTTAGGAGACATTTAGAAGGAGATAATTATCTCTTTTTTTTTGTATAATTTATTATCTTTTTTTGTACAACTGGAGAGAAAGGCAACTAACTACATCCTGAGAAATAAAAGTCCCATAGCGTCCCCAAATAATGAGGAAGCCATGCCTAAAGGTGGTGACGGCAAGAAAGTCGTTCCGTGTGGTGAAGAGTGGCCCAATGAGGCTGTATAATTTATTATTATATGTATAAAAAATAATTTTTTATTTAATTTTATTTTTATTCTTATTTTTTAATAAATTAAAAATGTATTAAT